CCCCCCGCCAATAAATCATTCTCGAAGTCAGATTTCTGACCCGGGAAGACAAAAGCAGTGTGGAGGAAAAAGAGCAAGCAGGGTTTAGTACTGGGTTAATCTGGAGGTTTAATAGCACTGCGCTTGCCATATCATATTCTGGATATTGATGCTATTTCTAGACTTTTAAACTTGGACTAGAATTCATATCCCTAACTCACAGTTTAAGATGCATGGATATAGGTAGAGAGCAACAGATGGAAAAGCGGGAGAGACACTGCTACCATCTAAGACAGTAATTTTTTTGTTAAGGTTACCTTAACTAAAAAGAAAAATACCTGGGTAAAGCAACCTAGTGAACATAGTCTATTGAGAAATAAAATGGCTATTGGTATTTTGTAATTCGGATTTCTAAGCAGGTAAGAAAAGTTTCTAAAAGGATGTAAAAGCTAGCAGAAACAAAAAGAGCCTATTAGTTACCTTTTAGTAAAATATATTTAATAGAAGTTACACATCCAAACAGAAAGGGTAAGCAGAGCAAAATTGCGAAATAATTAAAAACCAAAAAAGCCAAAGATTAGAAAATAACCTTAAGTAAGAGGAAGAGGTTGTTGAGACAGCTTAGCAGAGACAAAAGGCACTGAAGAACAGAATCATCCATATTCTCACACTGTAAGATAAGGCAGATAAAAAGCCAATTAATCTTTGCACTGTATTTTGAAAACATATTTTAGGATGACTGAATTGTGGAAGCAGCCACTGAACACAGCAAGCCATGCGATAAACAAGTAACTAAAATGCATGTTACATGTAGCCATTTTTTGAAAACCTCCTTAAATGTTTACAAAATTTTCTTTGTGTTCTTTTTCTTGGAAAGTGCAGAGCCCTCACATTCGCCCAGCATAAATCCGTAACTTAAGAACAAAGTTCCAATCAGTGCCTCTAGGAGTAAGCTGGCACACAAAGTTAAGTGGATGCATGCATGCTGCCCTGTCCAAGAGTTGCACCAAGTTTTAGACAAGTCAAGAGTTGCCTCTGGAACAAAAACATCTTCAGGGCTAGTGGTCTGTATTTCTTAACTTCTACACAAATAAGAGGCCTATGCTTACTTTTAGGACAACCTTAGTCTGCTATCATATCTTGTACAATGCACTATGAAACCATGTACTGCTTTCAATAAAGGTTAAATGTTCAGTCCACAATTCAAAACCAGTAGCCAATATAACCACAGTACAGTAAGAACAGAATTTGCAAAGGCCTGGAAAACATAACTTTTAAATCAAAAGGTATTCTAGAAGGCAAAAGTTGAGAGTGAGAAGTTGATTCATGCAAAGCGATGATTACCAAGAGATTCATATTTTAGTACGTTAGCAATAGTTTTAAGTACATTTTTATTGCATTCTTTACTCCAAGCCTTTTGGTAATTCTTATTTCACACTGGAAGTTGGGGAAAGCTTTTTGGAAGCCTGGTAGGATTGCCACCAATCTGTGTGACTGGATGGAGAAATAAAAGAAACTTAAGACTAAGTATTTAGATAATGCATGTACCTTAAGCTGACTGTTAAAGGCATCCATTTCAGCCAGTTTAGAAGCAGTTTCTTTCTCAAGGGCATCTAGTTGTTCCTTAAGTCTTTGGCATAATTCTTTCTTTTCTAGGGACTTTTCGTGCACTGAACTGATTCCTGTACCTGCATAAGGAAAGACAAGCAGTTTTACAAGGATTTCTGTTTTCACTAATTGTTTTATTATTTTCCTAATATACACACACCTTCTTAACCTCTTTTCTTCCAAAAATCCCTTGATTTACCTTTCTATTTGTATACAGCACAAAAAAGAAATGGCCCCAACATCTAACTGGGACAGACAGGTATTACATGTAATAAATACAGAATAATTTGCAAATTGTCTTTGATTTTTTTCTATATATCACACCAATCCATAGGAAGCTTCTCTAGATAGGGGCTTCTAGTGGGGTTTGACATTAGGGACAGTGGAAATTTTACATAAAACTCCCTTGAGTTTACACTATTAAAAAAAGACAAGGTGTAATAATATCTGTGGGCTGTATAGTCTGTATATAGTTTCAAGCAAAAACTGTGCTTGTGTCTGTTTGCCCCTTACTTAGAACATGAAGGAAACAAGGGAATGCAGATGAAACAATACTAAAGTGGCACTAACTCAAGAGTCAAGGTGTGATTAACACCTCTGCATCATTCAGCATTTTTTACAAGTGATGAAAAGCCAGCAATCAGAAGAGAATTCATTTGCAGGTACTTACTTTGAGTGTTTTCAAGTTGAGCATTTTTAATTCTTTCACTTAACAACTGCTTTTCAGGAACTAAATAGATTAGTTTATTCTGATACTCCTGTAGATATTGAAGAGAACATAACAAATTTTTGTTTATAAATCAGTAAGAACAAATAGGTAGATTTTCAAACATAACTTTAATTCACGTTAATGACATGGATGCAAGTTATCATTATGGGGTAGAGCAAAAAATTACTTCCATACTCTAATAGTATTTATATTATAAATAAATTAT